CAACATTTCCTGTTAAAGGAGTCATTGTTTTCTCTCAAAATACTGTAGCAGTGTCACATTTAGGGGAAAGGCTAATGGCGTTATTTCGTTATGCAGATTTATTGAACAAAGTCTTGATTGCTTTAGCAGAAGGCGGTCAATCCCCAACCCCAGATCCCCCTTTACTTCACACTCTTTCTTTTCTTTTCTTTTTTTCTTTTTGTTTAGAGCTTGTTAGCCAAGGCCTGGGATGCTCCTGATTGCCATCTTTGCCTCAGCTATAGGGTTGAGAACTTACTAGATAACATTCCCCATTGTCCCACTAAATTGGAGGATCTGGATGAGTATATGTTGCAGAGATGAGGCTGTGTCATCCAGGGTGATGTGAGAGCGGATTTGCTTGAAGGGTTTGAGTTCAGCCGTTTGATCTCCATGTGCCACTCCAGGCGTAAATGTGCGGCCCAGCATTTGTTGAAACACATCCTCTCTGAGTCATCGTCAGTGCTGTCAGCACAGTCCAGACTCTCCTGTCATTGGCCGACTGTGACGGTCTGCTGCTGTGTTTGTTCTGCTTTTATTAATGTAGCTGTTGTTTATCAAGACAGGCGAAGGAGGCTGACCATACGCACACAAGAACACCTGATAATCATCTGCAATGATAGCACACTATAATATGCTCCTTTCTCGCCCGTTCCCTCTTTTCTGTCTCTCATCTTCTCGTCTTTCCTCATGTTTTTGGGTCAAGGCTGGTGTGGGGACAGATATGGATACTTTCCCTGTATATGGTGCATTATCTGTTATCTTTATAGCTCTGTTTTTTTGAGGATTTCTGTTAAGTACACAGTCATAAAACAGGAAGTGACAGTCCTTTTGGCACACCGAGGAGCTTCTTTTCTTCTTTGTGTGTCTCTGTGTTGCACCTGTTAAAGTGTGTTCAGGTATTAGTTGCATATAACTTTTTTAAGGAAATTATAAACTTATTATTATAAATCACTTTGTTTAAACATTCAGATTTTTTTGCAGCAATTTTGGGATAATGCTTGGCACTCTTATGAATGGCATACACTACACAACTTTAGATTTTTACAGATTTACAGTCTGGATGTGTTGCTTGCTAGTTGATGAAGGTCAAAGCCAGTCTGCAGATTTTGAGCTATTGTAGTTGACAGATTTCATAGAAATTCACATAGTGTACAATAGGCAAAATATTTTTAAGCTTCAGACTATGATTCCATCCAGTCAGAGGATTTTAAACATGCTTGATATTTTGAGTTGAATTTAGAACACACATTGTTTTAATTTCTCATGCATCTCCTAGCAACGAGGCATATGTTTCTGCATTTGTTGTGTTCTGGACGATGTGTGCGAACCTCAGTTGTTTACTGTATGATGCTCAGTTTTTTTCTGTAATCGTTTACATAGTTGGCAAGTGTATGAAATCAAGTATTTTAAAATTAGTTTTAAGTTATGAATAAAGATATGTGTTACTTCTTAAATGTACACCATATAAGTAACACGTTGCTTCTCTATTAATTTCATTTCTGAACTTTGACCAATAGAATTCAATCCTTTCTATCACTCCTGTTATGATTAATAATTGTATACAAAGCAGTTTAAAGCAGCACAATGACTATACATAGGTGAAGTTGTTGCATGCAAACTATGAGGAATAAACACTGGTAAACAGCATAAAATACCATTCAGAAAAACAGCCACTAGCCAAGAATACAACTACTCTAGAAGCAGCAAAAAATAAATCAGACATTATTTTTCATTAAATACATGATTTTATAAGTAGGGCTGCACACTTTGGATGCCAAAATTGTTGTAGATGCCAAATTCATAAAACTGCTGTTTCACATTGGGTTTTTTTAATTAACTCGCACCATTTGAGATGAATAATCTTGCTAAGCCATCTCACAATTTTAATTTTAATTTCGATTAATTGTGCAGCCATAGTAGACAGAATTTGACTGTTTACTTTTGTCCTCTTTTTAGAGCTGCTTTACAGTAGAATTGAATTTTGTTTGCATTATTGACCAAATAATTGCCTGTTTTAACACTGTAAATATGATTTGACAAAATCGGTATTGAATAAAATGCTTTAGAAATAAAGGTGACTTGACTTGAATTTGCTGACTTAATCAGAGCTGAGCGTGCAGCACTCTTTTTGGTTGCTGAAAGCACAAATTAGCCAAAAATATAATAAATGACCCAGAATGTTATGTGTAAAATGCTGTACATGACAGGCGTTCCCACTGAGCTTTCTGCAGGATTAACGTAATGATGTAACCATTAACATTAATTGCCAGCAACCTAAAAGCAGCATCGTCTTCATAAACTTCCACATGCCCACTCAATTCTTCTAGCCCATCTACTAGCGGGCCGCCCCCTGGCCAGTCCTTCCCTCTCCTCCAGTTCTCCACTGTCTGCTCTTAATGGGGCTTACAGCGGCGGCACTCTGCCAAACTGCGCCCTCACGCAGGCCCATACATCAGCTCCTGATGAGGCTCATTAACCCTCCTCTCATGACTCAATACACTCCTCCTCTTTCCCTCACTCGTTCGTCTCCATCACGTCTCCACTTTATTCTGGCCAACATAGCGTAGCATTAGCGCTAGCTGTGTAGCTCGTGAAGGGGCGGGACTTCTCTTCCCAGCGTGTTTGCCCAACAGTTGTGCAAACACCCGTCTGAAGGATTGCACCGCCTGCCCCCGGTGACCCACCGTGGCATGTTTTGATTCATTAATTATGAAATAGTTGCACGTTCCAAACTTACACAAAAACACACATGAAAAGGAAACATATTTTATGATGTATGAATATTACTTCCAGTTATTGTTACAGATGTCTTTATCATTAACCTTGTTAAAGTTGGCGTTCATAGGCCAGGAGAGCCAAAGAAAATACTTTTGTGGGTTTTTGTGAAATATTCCACTTTCTATGGGCTTTGGTTCGGTGGCTCATGTTCAAATCCAAAAAGCAATTTAAAAGCGGTACAGCACCCCGAAACACTGATTGTCCAGATAGGGCCAAACGGAGACCACAGACGGGGTCCCGGGACAGTCTGGGTTCAGTGGGATCTTAGTCAGAGACTGTGTGTGTGTGTGTGTGTGTGTGTGTGTGTGTGTGTTTAAAAGTGCAATAGTGCAATTGATACTGCAAAATAATTAACTAAATCAGTATTTTTATGTTTTTCAGTTAAAAAACATTCTAAACTATTCTATAAATGTATTTAAGCTAAATTGCATTAGATATTTAGACATATTTATTTCACCTCACCCATTCAGTGTTGGTTTATTAAACATTTTGGCATATTAATTATGTTTTCAGCTACCGGTAAATGTCTCGTACTCTTCATTTCAACACACATTACCAAAATTAAACCCATTGCACAAACTTCCGCTGATTTTTCTCTAAAATCAGCAAAGGAAATGCAGAAAAAGTAGCCTTGGCCTGCCAGTGGGTAAGTAAAATAAACATAACGGTTACATTCTCGATTATCAGACAGTGATTATCTTAGCATCTTATGCTAGTTTATCATGTTATGCAATTTTGCTTCTCAAGTTATTATTTTTAAGATCTTCGAATATTTTTACTGGAGAACGATAAAAATAGTGATTATGGTAATTGATCATCCACGCACATGCTTCAGCTCCCTTTATTAATCTTTTCCTTCTCTCTTTGTCTTGCACTGTTTAAATAATTTGTCCTCTTGATGAGAGTTTATTTTTGTCTTTTTAAATCATTTGAAAGAAAATAAACTGTCTGCTGGCCACATTAGCATCTGCTTCCTGTGTGTGTGTGTGTGTGTGTGTGTGTGTGTGTGTGTGTGTGTGTGTGTGTGTGTGTTTTAGTATGAAGAGACCGATAAAAATAGTGATTATGGTAATTGATCATCCACGCACATGCTTCAGCTCCCTTTATTAATCTTTTCCTTCTCTCTTTGTCTTGCACTGTTTAAATAATTTGTCCTCTTGATGAGAGTTTATTTTTGTCTTTTTAAATCATTTGAAAGAAAATAAACTGTCTGCTGGCCACATTAGCATCTGCTTCCTGTGTGTGTGTGTGTGTGTGTGTGTGTGTGTGTGTGTGTGTGTGTGTGTGTGTGTGTTTTAGTAAGTTAAGAGGCACCTGCTCCTGCCGTGGCATATTTCCTGTGTGCTTGGCACTGCCAGCACCCAGGAATCCCCATTTCTCCACATCCCATAGCCAAACCTCTACGGAAATCATTTGGAAAAAGGATTTGAGCATTAAAGATAACCACACCTGTGATTATCATTAGACAGAGGTGCTGTAAAATGTTAAATCCCTCTCTTTAGTTTAAGTTTCTTTTAATGAGCGGAAAATTTAACCTTTCGGGCAAATTCCAAGTGTTGAATTTTATATAATGATTTAAAAAGAAGTGCTTGGTGAGGTGATTTGTTTTCAGTAGTGTGTTAAGGGCTAGACGAGAGAGACAGAGAGGGACCCTCTTACTGAGGGTAAGTGGGGGAGAGGCGAGGGGTCTCCATCCTCACATGTCTGCGCTCTGCGTCATCACCCCCACAGTTTCCTCATTTCTCATTCTTTGTCAGTTTGATTCGTTAGACTCCCTTCTCTATGGGCTATTTAACAGTTCTCTATGCTACTATACAGCTATTTAATAATTTTGGAATTTATTCGTTTTTTTTGGTGCTGGTAGGGGTTATGTTAAAAATTTGGGGGTTGGGGTCTAAAAGTATCATTCACCAAAATAGACTTTGTTGCATAAATAAAACATTCCACTTTGAATTGTAAGAATGAACATCTGATGCCATTTTTTCATAAATCAACCATTACCAAGTTCACAATGATTGCTTTACGTTTTTGTCTCCAGATCTCCATGCAGCAAAACATTTGTGGAATATTATGCGCAGCCAAATTGGACATATGAGGAATAAAGTCATATATCAGACAGTGAAGCTCAAATAATAGAATGATTTAGGTTGATGTGTATATGTAATATTAATAAACACTTTTGTTTCTCTCTGGTTCCTCAGCTGGAATCCGAGCTGGAGCAGTGTGAACGAGAGAGTGCCGAACTGCAGGAATACGCAAACTCCGTCCTGCAACAGATTGCCGATCACTGTCCGGACATCCTGGAGCAGGTGGTCAACGCTCTGGAGGAGTCCTGCTGACCAGACCAGATCAGGGAGCCGAGGCCTGCCTCCTCCTTCTCTTCCTGCTTCTCCTTCCCTTTCTTCTGTGTTTCACTTGATTTCACAGGATGCCAGCCCACAAACTCGCTCACCCTCACCCACATGCACAAATCAAAGGACAGACACATATACGGGAAAGACTGACAGCTCACAAGTCAAGTGCACGCTTGGATTGGCTTCGGGGTGTGGGAATGATGGGCTTTCCTTCTGCCATCCCCTACCACCACATTCATCCTCTCCGCACCTTAAGAATCCTGTTTACGCTCACATAAAAATGGGGAGGAAGAAACCGAAAGGGGGAAATGGGCAGGATGGAAGCTTAGTATTATAAGTCATGTTCACTCGTTTAGTTCTCTGTCTTGGAAACCCATCCTGCAGGAGGTGAAGTTCTCTCTGTGAGGGTCAGGAAATAGTATCCTTATCTTGATATATACTATTGCCACAGCTTTTAAAAGCTGCAGGATTTTGAAACCGTTTTGAAGCAATTTAGATTCGCCCCCCTCCTCCTCTCCCTTTTTTCTAGATGCTTTGTTACTGATATTAAATTATGGGTCATTTGCGCAGGGCAAAACTCCTGCACTCTCGAACCATCTGGTTTCACTCAAAATTTGGTTAATGCTCCGGTTGTGCCAGCAGACAGTCCATGCGGACTTAAACATACTTTTACTATCGTAGTCAGTAGCGGGTTTAGATTACTGCAACCCCCACCATCTGGGAATTTACTATTGACTCGGTTACTGGCCGATTTCCTCCCGAAGTCTCGTTCATAAAAGTTCAGAAACTGACAATATGGGTAATGTTATCCCGCATGCACCTGTCACCAGCTAAAGAAACCACAGACCTGGTTTATATCTGTTAAAGAGAGGAAGAAAATTATTTGCCTTGGAAGTTGTAGGTTTATTGCTGCTAACGTTTGTCTTTGCATGTGGCAGGTTTGGTTCTGTTATGTTTTTCTTTTTTCTCGTGGCCGGCTCTCTGAAGCCGAGGGCGGTAAAACAGAGGGTGTATTGCCAACACAGATGTTGTGGACGCAGAAGTGCCTCATCATCAGAGAGCAGCTGCCACACATCACTGGAATAGGAAAATAGGCACCTATCACTCATTCCGTACTTTGAAAACTATGTGGTCTCACACTGGGATGAAGACTGGCAGTAGTTTCTCAGTTTGCTCAATTTTCTAAAGCAAAGAGTTGGAGACTACGGGGTTTTTCTTGACGGATAAGGTCAAATAAGAGTAGCTGTTTAGATACCCTCCTCTTTTATTCCACTCTCTCTTTTTTGGAACAGTTGGAAGTTGTTTTTTGCGGTTGCTTTGTGAGATATCATCAAGCTTTGATCACAAGAATCTCACATGTACCATCATGCACCTCTCTTTCTCTTTGCTTGGCTTCATATCATCATCCTCAGACCCGGGCGTCTCTGTTAGCACAGCCGGCAGGTGTATCCTCTTTCACTTTATGGTTATATGGGTCTATATCCGATGGCATTTGGTGTCCGTTTCTGGACCGGCCACAGGAGTGATAAGACACAACCTCATTCAACTCGTGATAAACGTGTTTGCTTCATAAGACAGATCGGCCATTGCTTTAAAGTCCAGAGTCGACTTCCCCTGTGGATGACACTGGGCGTAACGTGCCCTCTGCTCTTCTCTCTCTATATCTCCTCATCCCTCCCTCATTCATGCCTGTGTGTAGTTTATGGCTCTGACCTGCTGTGCTGTGTTAGTCATACTCCTCTCTGCACGATAAGCCCCACAGACAAGACAAACAGCACGAGATCACAGCGAATATAATCATCTCTCTCTCTCCCTCTCGCACGCTCCCGTATCACCATACCACCTCTCCTCATGCTCATACACACCAGTTATGAGGGAACCTGCCACGTGTTGTTGGGCTAGACCTCTGAGTCGTACTGCTAGTCACTAATCTAGTAGCTGTAACTAGAACTAGTATATTGTTCTCTAGAGATTCATGTTTGTTTGTCTCTGTGAAAGATTTACACTAAAAGATAATTTAAATAGTTGGGCGAATCTCATAAAAACATGTCCTGGTCACATTTTTTCCTCAAAATGGTAAGGAAAAAATAATAAGAAATTATATGTTGCATAAAAGGGAAGGAAACTAAATTGCACTATTTTCATAAAAAAAGGACACATTTTCACTCAGAATTTTAAGGCGCCTAAATTAAGTTTTATTATTATTATTATTATTGTAATTCACATTATCCTTAATGCCTTAATGGTATTAATGTATTACTGTATTACAGTTTTAAAAAATCCTCCGAAAATCCAAAATAATAGTTAAATAAGTGTAAAACATTTTATTTAAATATGCATGAGAATTGGTGGAAAATATCCTTAATTGTCATGAAACATAGACAAAATGTCTGTTTGTTTTCTTAAAGCAAGATATAATTTTCTATTACTATGTACTTAAGGTGTTTTGTGAGATTCACCCTAATGCATTTCGAATTAACTAAAGCTAAGTGTGGCCACTTCAACAACATATTCCCACGCTTACATGGGCAATGCCAAGAAAACGCCAGTTCGCGTGCCATTCTCACCCTTGGCACGACAGATCTTATTGCAGTCATATACGTTGCATAGCTGTAAAATGTTTTATGGTTTTATGCTCTTAATTACAGCTGATAGACTTCCTTATGAGGACATAAATGTGACTAGCAGCTCTGATGGGTTTTTAAAATCAAACAGCTGATTGATGACGCCGTCCTGTTTTTCATCTCTGTCGCTTTCTTCCCGTCTGCTATCTCATTCACGCACAAACACAGTTTTGGCCATTACCCATGGGTCTCTGAAATATGGGGCTCAGTTATCTACACCGTGGCTGAATCTCCCTGCTTAGACTAAACACAGACCCCTCGCACGCGCGCACACACACACACACACACACACACACACACTATCAGGCCCTCGTGTGATTTATGTCCTTCAGTACAGGAGCTGGCCTCTTACCACCGCTCAGCACAGAGCACTCCGGAGAATTCACTAAGAAAACAAAAAGAAAGAACGCTGTGATAACTGGGAGCAGATCAGAGAAAGAATGACCCGGCGCTTTGCAGAGGGTGTTATTGTGTGTTGAGTGAGTGTCTCTCTTGAGCTCTGGTATTTATGTGATTGCTAGCTATAGACAGACCTAATCACACAGAAGAGTATGGAAATTCGCTGCAGGCTTTGGATCGCTCCGTATGTTCAGAGGCTCCCTGTCTCTGTGAGTCCTCCTTGTGTTTTTGAGGAATTGAGATCTACACCAGCCAGCGCTCTCTGTTCAGTAGCTCATTACCAAAACTACCAATATTCAGAAGCACTTTGTATGAAGCCTGTGTCTATCACAGTGTTTTGAATGCAAATTAATTCACAATACCTTATAATACTTGCTTAGTCGTGTTTACACCTTTAACCACTATAATGCATTATAAAACATAACATGAATTTGGTGTTCATGTGTTGTTTTTTAAGGGTGTAACCATTAGATAAGTATTATAGTGTATTAAAATTAGTCATAGTTATTCATAAGAACATTAAAATTATAATAAGTTGTATTATTAAGTCATTATGAATGCATTGTATAGGCTAAATTGAGCCACTCTTTGATCTCAGTGTTGGAGAGTGGCCCAATTCTGTTTATATAATGCATTATAACACTATATACCTGAATTCACTCTATATATAACCGTATACAGGCTTTATAGAGGTGTTTTATGTTTATTTTTGTTATAGTGATGGTGCATGGCTGCTTGTAGCATAAGCTGACTTTCCATACCGTTTGGCTTTTTACATCTACCTGGCTTGAAACTGCGTTCAGCCATGAGTGTGAATGAGCATGAGGTGTTGCTTCATGTTCTAGTTTGAACATTTTTCATCCTCATTAAACTCACTGAGGCATGTCTGTGGAGGGAGAGAGAGAAAGAGCTTCACATGGGCTGTAAGGACCCAACGTATTTTCCAGTTACTCATTTTGCTGTCCAGTTTTGTAATCTACCCTATTTTGCTCTGTAACATGAGACATTTATCATATACTTAAATACTTTAAAAAAATGATTATTTCATGTTATATGTCCCATAATTCTTAGCGTTAATCGGTAGTATTGCCATCCAGGCTTGTTACAATAGACCTTGACACAACTGTGAGAACACTGCCAGAGATGTCTCGTTCACACATGCATATACAGAAATCTATATTTATATATGTTGATGGTTGGACCTAGATGTCTGTGGAAGAGAATATATCCGTCTGAACAAAATGGCTGTCTGCTATTAAAAGAAAAAGAAAAGAATGAACTAGTAACACTAACAGTTGTCTTGAAATTAAAATTGAAAAAGCGAAGCCTTTCTAAGTGTCAAATCAAAGCTGTTAACAAAGATTTTCAAAATTAGTACCATGTGGTTGATGTACTGTTGCTATCTTCTCTGCACCTCGTTTGATTTTGATTCCAACTCATCTTACAGTTGTTGTTGTTTCTTTCTTTTGGGATTGTTTGTTTTTGTTTTGCAGTCCTTGATAGTGTGCGTGATTGCAATCTTGAAAACTGCAGCGTGTTTTATATTACAAAACATGCATGTCTATTCTTGGGGCGGGAGAAACATCCATGACCGTGTTTCGAGTGGACTGAAGGATGCCAAGACCTTGAGAACTGTGATCCTTATGGCACTCTGGGTTGCTGGGAAGTCAGTGTTATTTTAGATTAGCATAATTTGTGCGTTTGCAGGAGATAATAACTATGTTGTGCTCACTGTTTTGGTCAGATGATCAGCATCACTCGACACGAAGCCTCATTTGTTGTTCGTAGTAAATTATCACACGCGTAAACACACTTAACATTTTTATGGCATCCTAAGTAGATTGCCTATTAGATTGTTTACTTATTAACTCATCTTGAATTGTCATTATTTACCCAAACGGTCCGTCAACACGTCCACATTTTTCATGCATTACTTCCCTCCACTTAGTTTGATGGACTGAGACTGTTTAAAGCATGAAACCACATAAAACATTTTGGCAAGTTTATGTCTGACTTTCCATTCTCCGTCCGAGTGAATTCGGTGCCAAACGAAGCTAGTCTGCTCTAGAAAGTGCCACAAATAGTAACCTGCCTGTCGTTCATCAGCAACCAAAGCCAGGTCATGTGACCTTTTTCTGTTTATAACATGTTTGTTTTATATTTAAACCTTTAAACCTTAATTGACACACTAAGAGGTCAAACCGAAACCAGGCCTGCTGTGCTCGGTTAGCTGCTGGAGTCCAGTTAGATGAAGCACCAGAACAGACGCCTTTATTAAGTGTATAATAGAATTGTTTGAGTGTCTGAGTTGAATGAAGCAGCATTATTCTCAAGGACCTAATCTTCATTTCGACTCAGAACTGTGGTGTATGTGATAACATAGTCGTTTTCTAGACTGTTACAAAAGTTCTGTGTGCCTACTTAAGAGAATATGTCAGGCTTGTAGTTGGCACTTATGTTTTTTTCCTTTGGATTGTGTCCTAAGAGAGTGTCAGACCTCAATATCGCCCCATCCACATCATGCTTTCTTGGCTCCAGCAACCCTGCCTTCTGTCACAGTAAGGGTCTATCTTTTCTAATGATTCATGCGCTTTTTCTACACAGTACACAGGAACACTGTCAAAGAGGATTCTTGCCCTTTCCCCTTTAATTTAATGAAGAAAAATAAATGGAAAAATGTCAACTTTAACCCAAAGCTGGTCATCTTCTTTTTTTTTTTTTTTGTATTTTCATGTTCACAAAAATACTGCCTTATGTCTGTGTGGAAAAGATAAAAGATTTCTATAAAAAGTAACAAAAAGGCGTATTGTTATTCAGCTTTTGCCTTTGTATGTATATAAACTCTATCATTCAGTCCTTTATTGTGTTTGAGTGGTTTGTCAGTTATGATGCACTATTATTCTTTCAAATACTACAATATGTACTGTTCTTCTCTGTTACAAACTTAGTGAGCTGCCTACCTAGACTGCATTTTAAGGCATAATAAAGGCAAATGATCAAATTTATGCTACCTTCTAATATATTTTGTTTTAGTCGAAAAATAATGCAGGATCATATGTGCCCTTTGTGGAAAAGATGGTCTAAAAGTTGAGAGAAATGTTGATTATGAATTCTCAGGCAAATAAAAAATGTACTATTTTAGCCAATATTGATGTATTTTTATGCTTATTTGAGTATTGTGTCATTAGCTTAGCTACATGCTAATGGCAAACCTTTTTGGAATCATTCATGAGTCATATTTCTTGTGGCACATTAAGAGTGTTCCAAATGAGTCATATTATGACGTCCCAGTTGGGACGCCGCATTAGAAGGTAGCTGCTTATGTAGACAGTAAACAGCAGGGTAGCTCACTAGGTTTTGGATCAGAGCTAATGTGTTCCATAATTACTCAGTGAGTCAGTTCATAGGACTCATATCTGTGTAAGCTGTAATGTTGTGGTGACATCCTCAGTGTTCAGCAGGAGCCTTCCTTCCTCTTCTGTCTCTCCACTCCAGACAGAAAGAAACCTGGTTGATACCGATGCTTCAACCCACAAAAAAGGAACGCAGATGGTCTGTTGAGATGTCTTGGTTTCCGCCTCCAGCTTTTGTACAGACCCCCCAATGACTGGATTTATTGCCGATTACACATCACCACTTATGCCACCCAGCGGAGTTCCTGTTCGAGTTTACACTCCTCATTTTACGATATACAACTTGCATGCAGTATATATATCAAGTAGCGATTAAAGCATGCAGAGTGGGAAAGATCCCGTCGTTTTAGGGAAAATCACTGGAGAGGCCTACCACGCTTGCTAAACACAGGCAATGAGAAGAATATGGTTTATATTAAACCACTATTTAAGCCACCATTTAAATGTGCAAATTTCAGGGGAATTTCCCCCTGGGAAGACTCTACTTATGTGCTGAGTCTGGTCCAGAAATCACAGGGGCTACATCCAGACTCATACTTTCAGAGTATATGCTGTTCCGTGAAGAATTAACTTCTCAACAGTTAATGAAATGCGAGGTGTGCAGTATAAACACATTCCCAGACATGCTACATCCATACTGCTATTGCATTTGCATACTGCATAGTAGAGAGGTAAGCATATTCTGGCCAGGGTTGTGCCTTTCAGAAGTCAATTTATAATTTGTTTAAATTCCAATTCTGTTTCAGAATTTGAATTAAGGAAGCAAAAAGGATGCAAAATTGCAATTTGAACATAATGAAGAAAAAGCTATGTTTGATAGTTTTGGGGGAAAAACAGCTTATAGATAGATGGATAGATAGATAGATGGAACAATGGATAGATAGATATATATATTGTTATATAGATGGATGGATACATATAATGTGGGTGGATAGAAAGAATGATCCATCAATTGAGATGGATGGATATATATATATATTTATATTGTTATATATGGATGGATGGATGCATAGAATGTGGGTGGATAGAAAGAACGATCCATCGATTGTGATTGATTGATTGATTCCGATTTAAGTTTCTATTGGTGTGGCCAATTCAAATTCACACTCATGAATTTAAAGCTATCCCATTCTGAATTTTGGCCAACTCTGACGCAGTGAGAGTCTGTGCACCTCAGGAATGAGGGAAATCTGACCTTCATCAGTCTGGAATCATGGCGCTGCTACTCCTGGATAAGCAGACCAACCAATGATTGGCAACCATCTCTATCCCAATAAGCCCTATATCTGAACAACTGTGGCCTATAGAGCTCTCTTTCTGTTTAAAGTGCATGTATATATATAGAAATACTTGTGCATATGTTTTTACAGAGAGGCACAAAGGATAAGAGGTCTGTGTGTGGGTGTGGAAACGATGTGGTTTCAACCGTAGCGGCCAAAGGCACACTGATTGCAAAAAGCAAAGGGGGAGAGTGAAAAAAGAACAGCAAGCGCCTAAAATAAATGCCTTGTCCATAGGATGGAGAGGCATGGAAAAACGCCTTTTTTCACATCACTTGACTTCATGAAGATCATAAAGAAAACAAGATCCGTCACTTACATGAATGCAGTTCATTGTCTGGGTTTCGTGGTGAGTTGCACTCAAAGATTTGTCCGTCCAACTTGGAAACGGCATTATCATAAGCAAAGTTTGCTTTAGTGCACATAGAGTTACGCTAACTACGTGACTACGCATAGGGGAAGTATATAAGAATGATATGTAACATGGAGAGTGAATGGGTGCCGTCACAATGAGAGTCCAAACAGCTGATAAAAACATCACAATAATCCACAAGTAAAAAAAGTCTTGAGAAGCAAAAAAGCTGCATGATTGTAAGAAACAAATCCATCAAGGCATTTTAATATTTTAACCAAAATATCCATAATACATAATAATGCTTCCTCCAGTGGAAAAAAGTACATCCCCTGTTGTCCTCTCACCAAAATCCACAAACATTTTTGTTTACAACTTTTTTTTTTTTTTTGCTTGCAAGCGGTGCTTGATCTGTGCATATTTCTCTCCTGATTCCAGACAAGATTACTATTTCGCTGGAGAAAGCAATATTATGGATAGTGGAATTGTATTTTAGCCAGAACAAAGGTTTGAAGTTAAAAGCATCTTGATGAAATTGTTTCTTACAAACATGCAGCTTTTTGCTTCGCAAGATGTTAATCGATGGACTGGAGTGGTGTGGATTATTGTGATGTTTTTAGCAGCTGTTTGGACTCTCATTCTGACGGCACCCATTCACTGCAGAGGATCCATTGGTGAGCAAGTGATGTAATGCTAAATTCCACCAAATCTGTTTGGATGAATTAAACTCATCTACATCTTGGATGGCCCGAGGGTGAGTACATTTTCATTTTCAGGTGAGCTATTCCTTTAAAACGATTATGTCTTTTGTATCATAAGTCTAATCACTTAGAAAAGTAACAGCACACTTCTCCTCTTCAAATGCTCGATTGGAGGTGTCATTCATTTCTGGAGCACAAACTGTGCTGGATGAGTTATGCCTTACAGTTTCATACTTAAGATTGGCAGTTTGTTGAAATCCCTAACCTTTAGTTTGAGCTATAGTTATAGCGATGCTTGCCTTAGCAAGCAGAACTAATGATAGATTGAACAGAACAGGAGAGACTGTTCTTTTCTGCTGATACTAGTCTTTTTTGGAAAAACATAGCAACAAATTACAGACAGACAGACCTGCGCTGGGATTTTACCTGTACTGTAAATCAGTGTCTAGAAGTGATCTTGCTGAAAATTAACAGGCTTGTTGAGAGTTAAACAACTAATTACAAGGCCATTATTAAGTGTGCACTCACACACGTGCAGTGCAG